CAATACCTATTGGAAGGCAATCTTGTCATTATTTCTACAACTATTTCCACATTCCTTTCCAAAAAGGTTAATAGAATAGGATTGTTTCCATTATTTATCAGAATTTTAACAAATAAGGAGTATAGATTCAAAGAAACTGAAATAAGTGATGATATTGACCTAGTGGAATATAATGTCTTGCTTCAACTTGTGAAATTTCACAAAAAGTCAGATATTCTCCTCAGGTATTGGACAGAATTGATTGACATGTCTATTAACAGATTGACATTAGAGGTAAGAGAGGAGGATTTTGGAGAAATATTGGAAACATTAATTGAGAAATATGACAACATATACTCTCTCACCATCCTTGGAGATATTTTCGATGAATTGGAATATTTTGAACGTTTCTTACCACATTTAAAGAAATCAATTCAGAAGAATGGAATTGAGAGTGAATTTCTCATTTCCTACCTCGGTCGTTTGTCAAGATTGGAAATTCCAATTTCAAAAAAGTGGGAACGGGCTCAAATTTATTTGGAATACATTTTAGATTTTGCTCCCCCAGCCATCACAAACTTTCCAAGTGATTTCATTTTGGATTTGAGTAATGAGTTGGAAATACTTTCAACATTCATTGACAAATATCCTCAAGTACTTGTTAATGATTTTCCATATTTAGACTTGACCAATTTCACACGAAAAGGAAATGCCAAAAACTTTTTCCAAGTAGCCAGATCCAGAGGAATAGATTGTTCCATTCAAATTTATAATTTGGCATCACGTTTAATATCAGAAGCTAGATATGCCTGCGTCCATAACCAAAAGATTTCTGAATTGATTTGTTTTGTGATTAGTGAGAAATTTTTTGTCGATATTTATCACTTTGAAGAAGATTCAAAATTCTTCATAAATTTTGTGAAATACTTGATGCAAGTTCACTATGAATCGATTGAGAAGGAAATTGAATTTCTATTTCCCACCATTGTGGATCTTGGAAAGATATATGGACAAGACACCAACTATGAAAAGAGAATTTGGAATTCCATTGGAGAACTCATTTCCAGATTGCTTTTAGTTGAGGAATTGCCTCAAATTAACAAGATCATGGACAGGAAATTTACACCCACCGTGTGGAATGTTGATTTGTTAATCTATTTATTGGAAGAGGATGCACTCCATCCTCAAGTTATCTCCAATATATATGAATTGATTCGATATAGTGAGACAGAATCATTGGATCAGTATGTCCATCGATTATTATCAGAGGAGAAGAATTCTTCAGTAGTACAAGAGCCGATAATTGACAATATCTCATTTGCTAATTTTACAAAAAGTGATCCAAAATTTTATATTTGTCTTTACAATGCTTGCCAATTAAGATTCAACCACAATGTTTAATATTTAACATCATGACAGTGCAACTTCCTAATAGTTCTCAAAAACTGTACAATTTCTTCAAAAATCATGCCTAGTCAACCACCAAATGGAAAATTCTAAAAATAAAACAAAACTTTTCCAAAAAAAAAGCCACAAAATGAAAATTGGTATTTTCGGCGGATGTAACACCACTCGTCTGACTCCAGTTTTAGAGGAAGAATTGAAGGTTCTCGCCTCACTGATCAATACGGAACAACACCTCGTTGTATACGGAGGTGGAAAGAAGGGAGTGATGAGTATTGTTCCAAAGTATTTTCATGAGAGAGGAGGAAGGGTGATTTCGATCAATACAAAGGAGGCTAATAATGGATTGGATGAGTGTTATGGTGAGAATTTTCTGTATGATACACTGCAGGAGAGACAGAGGAGATTGATTGAGAATAGTGAGTTGGTGATTTGTTTGCCAGGAGGAATTGGAACTATTAGTGAATTGTTTGATGTAATGGCAATGAATAATAACAAGATTAGGAATGTCAAGATTTTATTGTATAATTTTGAAGGATTTTTCAATCACATGATTGAACAAATTAAATTATTGGGAAAGAATACGGATGAATATTTGATAGTGACAAATGAAGTGAATGACTTGATGGAACGTTTGAAGGAATTAATTAAAATTGAATAGATAAATTATTAAATTATTAAATTATTATATTTGTGAATTATTTAGTTCTTCACTCTAAACTGATTATTTCAATTTCAACAAATTTCAATTATTTTGAAAAAGGAAATTTCAGTTAATAATTACATGATTGAAATACTACTAGTAGTGGCAGGCTTCAATCCTTCACCGACATGTCTAATGGCTTATTTTGTGAAATGGATAATTGACCTAATAAACAGCCTCCTTATTGATAAATCTGTCAGCAAGTCTTCTCAAGACAAGTCCATTTATAGAGACTGCAACTTTTACCATATCTTCACATATACGGTTGGCATGTTCGATGAGGAATGATTTACCATTACTTGTCTTGAGTGATATCTTGACAATTTCCAAATCCTTCTTCAATTCTGATAAAATAAAAACATTTACCGACAATGGGGCTCGAACCCACGACCCCAGGATTAGAAGTCCTGTGCTCTATCCAACTGAGCTATGACGGCTCACATTGGGTTACAGCAAAAGTTTGAATTATTGTTAGGGAAATCCACTCAAACTTTTAGCATCTCGCCAAATATTTTGATTTTAAGGTGAGGTTTTCCACCAATGTTTTGAAAATTTACTTTTTCCTTGAGTTTTGTAAATTGATTTCTTAAAAATGTTGGAAAAACAAAATGA